CTAACAAAAATCTTTGATGGCGAATGATCATGTTCTTTGCCTTCAAGCGTCGCAGTGTATTTCAATGACGAGACTTTTCCTTTTTTCAATTTCAATGACTAACGCGCCTTGACTGGTGGCATACCGGGCCATGTACCTCTGCTCAAGGTGTCTTTAGGACCTCGTCGTTAAATTGGCTACAAGGAAAACGATGTGGGCACAGTGATGCTGGATGTCGCTTTATTTAAAACCAATGATAACACGCGTGATTACCAAACGAACTACATGAGAAAAAATTGATTAGCAAACAACGGGGAGTGGGAGAAAATGGAAAAAAAAACATGGAGCATGGATAGAGCTGTATTGTGATGGTTGAACATAAGAAACAGCTACAAAGCGACCAGGGAATCGAATAGAACAGTCAGAATGGAATGTGAACTGCTACTTTGATTCACCCAGACGTCCCTTAACACTAAAAGCACTTGCCGTCGCGTCCTGTCTGAAGTAGGCCAGTGCCGTCGGTTGACAAATGGACCCCCCAAGGATGACCGTACTCGGTCTCTAATAGAGCTGTGTTGCGCCATCTCACGAGAGGCAGAGCCCAGATCGTTCAACCGAGAAGGTGACGACGGTACCATGGCTGTAGAAGACTCAACCAATGTAGAAGAACACGAACGTACAGCGATGTACGTTGTGGGTTGGACTTGTGCTGCACGACGCTAACGTCCACACGATGGAGAGCAGTCGAACGGGGAACCCAAAGAGCCCCGCGATGGACGTGAAGTCGTTTGTTCGCGGCGGCCAGCCATGGAAACGGCAGAAACGCACTCAATGCGAATCGCCATGAGAACACTCTGAAACAATACCTTATAAGTCAAAATCAAGCTTAAGAGAAGCTACTGTAGTTGAGGGGGGGGGGAAGCCATGCAGTGACGTCAGTGACACGACCAAGTTACCTTTTCCGCTTTGAAGTTTCCCATGAGAAACCGCGGACAACCATTTCGTTTACTGCCTCGTGAAGCGGAGAAGTGCTCATGCCTCTCCTGCCCCCCAACTACGGCAGCGCCACACGAAGTGAACACGGGGAAAAAGTAATAAAGTGACAAATTTAACAAAGACATACCATTACACACATCCCAAGATCACGCGTGATGTCACACCCAAGCCGTCCACCCCTCGTACATCAACGAGAGTAGATTGATATTTGTCGCTTGGCTGATAAGTATGTCCACCTGAACAACAGATCTTGATCGATTCATTTACAGCTGGAACGAAGAGAAACGAATATCTCTTGGACCATGATTAGACCCCTCTTGCGAAACCCCTCAAAGTTTAGAGGGGATTTCGCAACGTCCAGTGGACGAAGGCCATGATGTCACCCCTCGGGTCATCCCCTGTGGAAGTGAGGGGAGGGGTAGTGGTTGGCAAAGGAAGCCACCAAGTGCCTTGAGTAGAATCCCAACTACTGCGGAAATTTTTGAAACGACTCCCTCTTCCCCCTCATCCCACCTGCTGGCTTGCCTCTCTTGCCACCCTTGCCGATTTTTCGAAGCTTCTTACCACTGTTATCGAAATTCTCCAAAATTTTCCAGTTTCCCCCAGGAATTTTGCAGCCGAGAGAGGGGAGGGGGTCCAAAATTTTCCAGTTTCCCCAAGGAATTTTGCAGCCGAGAGAGGGAGGGGGCGGGGGAATACGTAGTACCCTCTCCTAACGGAAATCAAATACGACCCCCATCATTTGATTTCAGCCAACGATGTAGTCCACTGAACAGGAAAAAATCAACAGTTAAATTTTTCAGTCCCCAACGTAGGACGTGCCCATCCCAACTGCTCACCTGTTCGCTTGGACTGGCGACTTTCTGAGGATCAGAGGAATCAGTGCGGCCTTCGAGACGCGCTCGAACTCTTCTCACCACACTGCTCGCATGAGCATTTTGTTCTTGTTGTTGTTTGTGATGTGGACGAGGATCTGAAAATGAGCTACTGAATTTGGAGCGGCTACAAAAAAAATTAAAAGTTAAAAAATTGAGAACTTTCTCACCTTCGAACCCAGGAGGCAGCTCTGGGGTCTCACTTTTCGGAGGATTACGTGAGTCTGTTGATGGAGATAGTAGTCGAGTAGGCTGGGCGGACTCATTCAAAGAAAGAAGACCGAGATAGATACTGAATAAGACATTGAGACAAGTACTGACGTCAAATATTATGGGGACCAAAAATGGGGTAAAGAACATACTCTTCCATCAAGGCGACGAGTAAAAACTAACTGCGCTTCACCTAACTGTTCTTTCGACGCCATACAGCACCTCCATGCAGGGTACAGCATCGTCGTGTGAAACCATAGGGGGTCGTACTTTTTCGCTGGGGAGGGGGATCGTATTTGGTGGTTGTTGGGAGAGAGAGGGGTCGTATGAAATTTGCCATGTCGTTAACATTTCGCGTGTTTTTTTTCTGTTTCCATGTGGACTATCTCCCCCCCCCCTTCCTCCCGCCCACGCTGGACAGCAAAATTCTCGGGTAGGAAAACTTTCGGGGAATTTCGGAAAAAGTGGGAGGAGTTTGGGAAGACCTAAGAAATTTTTCTGCTCAACATGTGCTATTTACCCCCTTCTCCCAGCCCGACGGAAATTCTTTGGATGGAAAACCGAAAAATATGGGAAGTTGGTAGGTAGGCATGTAGGTGTTAGGGAAAGTGGGGATCGTACCAAGATCCTCTTTCGGGTGGGGGTCGTACCGAAAATGGAGGGGGGCACCTCACACATCACGATGCTGTGCCCTGCCTTCATGTTAAATCAGTTGGGTCCTGGTCTGAATGCCGCGCACGTGTCGCCAGTTGCAATTCCGCCATTTCTTTCGCTACCCTCAGCCCAATGTAAACGTGCCGTCCCAATCCGACGAAACTTTACTCACTCGCAAATATTGTTCTGCACAATAGCGAAATGACGGAGACAGGCGTTCAAATCGAGAGCTTCTGCGTCCAAAAGTTGATGTGCCTTCACCAATGGTTCTGAGAATCGTTCACGATATGCTCGAATATATGCCGCAAAACGTTCATCGCAATACCAAGAAGTAAACGAGCAGCCAACAGGACACCATTGTGGCCGTTTTTCCAAAACATACCGTAGCCAAGGCCTTCAGAAGCGGACGAAAATCTTTCATTATGTGATGATGACGGGCAATGGAAGCCTTGAGGCGACGACCAGCATCCACTCGTTCCTGGAAGAAAATGCGGAAAAATGGTCGGACTACAATGATGAATATATTAGGCAGCGTTCAGACTTCGCGACGGCAGCGCTTTGGTCGCGCATTCGACGCGATCGGTACAATCAAAAGCATGCGCATCGATCGCGTCGAAGCGCGCCGAGCGATGCCAAATGCACTGCATCGTGATGTCTGAACGCCTACTGGCTAAGCGCTCTCGAAACTCCCAATTGTACAGTCCTCATCATTACGGACCGGTGGGGCGGCTCAGCCGCGCTGCCCTGTGACGCGACAGCGGCTGCGGCTTGGTGCTGTTCGCTGGCAGAACGGTTCAACAGTCACCCGCGCTCTTGTTCCGTGCCCCCATTTGCGCGCCCGGTATGGTGACTGGCGCCTATTCAGTGATAGCCACGCCCGCGGCCGATCAGCTGATCTCGATGAAAATCGGCTGCAATTTTTTTTATTTTCAGCCCTTCAAGCTGCGGAACAGCAAGGTGAGTTCTCTTGAACAATTTTAAAATGTTCTGGCTGTAATTTATTATGTTTTGTGCCTATTTTATTGCCCTTTTCCTTGTATTTTTTCCTTTTTAGGGTTTTTTCGATTGATGCATGCTTTCCCACCCTTTTTTTTGGCTCTTACTTCATGCTGTGTCTTAGATGTGTTTCTGTTTTTGATTGAAACACTCTTTGACATCGGTTTGAAGTCTGCAGACCAAGTGGAACGTCCTTATTCCCAACATTTTCTGCTGTGGCCGATGTCAAAGAGTGTTTCAATCAAAAACAGAAACATCTAAGACACAGCATGAAGTAAGAGCCAAAAAAAGGGTGGGAAAGCATGCATCAATCGAAAAACCCTAAAAAGGAAAAAATACAAGGAAAAGGGCAATAAAATAGGCACAAAACATAATAAATTACAGCCAGAACATTTTAAAATTGTTCAAGAGAACTCACCTTGCTGTTCCGCAGCTTGAAGGGCTGAAAATAAAAAAAATTGCAGCCGATTTTCATCGAGATCAGCTGATCGGCCGCGGCGTCTATCACTGAATAGGCGCCAGTCACCATACCGGGCGCGCAAATGGGGGCACGGAACAAGAGCGCGGGTGACTGTTGAACCGTTCTGCCAGCGAACAGCACCAAGCCGCAGCCGCTGTCGCGTCACAGGGCAGCGCGGCTGAGCCGCCCCACCGGTCCGTAATGATGAGGACTGTAAATGCCATCCTTTTCACCGCCATGTTCGGCACTGGACGAAGAACAAGGGGAGACAGTTTGGTAGCAGGTGAGGTTTCAGTGATAAAGCACAGGGGAGGCAGTTCGACGACCTGGGGGGGGGGCGTTTTGCAACTTTTGGCTGCTCGCTCACCGATTTGTCCAGCCATCTAGAGAGTCTTTCATGAGCTTACAAAAGGACAAGTTGCATCATGGTAACTCAACGAGCTCGCCACAGCTTCAGAAGAGTTCACAGGTTCACCAGAGTGAGGCGGAACTCGTGGAAATGCTAAAGTGCCCCTCCCCCGTCGCCGAACAGTGCTGCGATAGGGAACACAATGACGAGCGAAATGACAGAAGCGGTCCCTAACAGATAGCGATGGAACGCAAGCAACGACGTTGTGCATCTGAGTGGTGGTGGTAGGTGGGGGGGGCTTCTTGCGGCAAGTGACTGGCTCTAAGGCGGCCCTAACAGCTCTTCACTTAGCTCTAAGACACGAGACAATGATAGCAAACTCGGCAACTGAGCCTAGGCCACCTCCGTACAAGAAGAGGTTCCACTGATCCGCAGAATGTGCCTTTGAAGCAGAACGATTACTATACCTGTCCCAGAAGTTCTCTGCTGTTCCACGCACTATTCTCTGGAGATGCATTTTCACGTTGTAGCACATCTGTAACGCTTGCCAATGCAGATTGCAATTCCGTGCTGTAACAGAGGGGTAATTAGAAGGACCAGATGCAATCCATTCCAAAACCATGCGGAACTCACAAATTCTTCGTCCAAAGCGCTGTATTCTCTCGTATTCTCACACCGAACATCTCTCTTGCAACCGGTTTCGCTTCAACCGCTCTTGAATCCGTGCCTGCAAGGTAAAACTTGACCTCAAGATCTACATGTTATGCACTAGTAGTGAAATTACCGTATACGGCCAATGTGACGGCTACTCCTACAGCCGCCGATGAAGCAGTCAAATGGTCAGATACAGCCCAATCCACAAGTGGATCGTATACGAATGCGTCCAACATAGTGAGCAATACTTCTCTTCCTTCTCGTAATGTTGACAACACTTGTGAACACGATTCGCGAAACACTCCCTGAAAAAATGACTTTTTCCAAAAGTGTCTTTTTCAGCTCCAGCGGTGGTTCATAGGTGGAGTTTATCACATCCACAGAGCGGATTTGCACACAGTTTAGCCTATCCTAGCTAGCTGACTCGACCCGTCTCATGAATTAGGTCATGGCAGCCTACATCCCATGACGCCGTTGTTTTCCACTGCTGCAACTAAGTACGACTGCGTAAATGAAGAGGCTACCGTAACCTACGCCTAGATTTATTCGTAAATGGGCACTTGCCGTGGTTCTTCAGGGACAACTTCATTGATGTTACACTTCATAGGGCAATAAAATCAGACGTATGTTAGCAACAGTCACTCGGGTGTACACAGTCGCAGATCGGGAAAACCATGAGAGGTAGGCTGCCATAACGCAATCCATCAAGTGTGCTGAGTCAACTATCTAGGAAAGCCGGATCGCGCGCGATGCCGCACCTCAGACGTCAGTGATAAGCTACGCCTGTGATCCACGAACCGTACCTCAACTTGCGTAGGTCCGAGCGCATGGAGGATATTCTGAGTGA